ACTACGAGTTTGTAGTTCGTTAACCTTTTTTTTCTTTTTTTTTGTTTATGAAGACCTTGGTGGATCCATTATCTGTTTGTGATAGTTATATATATATATATATATATGTCATGAAAACAATGCGTCAGTTTAGTCTGAGAAAAACATTAAGTTCAAACGTTTCAATATTTAAACGTAGGTCATTGTTGGGTACTTTTTTTTTTTTACAGAGATAATGAAGAAAGTCCAAACTGTAAATTGTTTGGACATTAAAAGTGACAAACATTTTTGTGCATATTGTTGCACGCCAATAAGAAGACAGCTTCAACAGTTACCGTTTAATGTGTAACGAGAGTCAAGAAAAAAATCCAGCTTCAGTGACATCAGGTAACTAATTAGGCTTCAAGGATAACGACACTAATTATGAGACTATTCCCCACCCTTGGGGCTGTGTTTTGATTAATAGCGTTGGAACCACTCTTGGGGCTTTGTTTTAATTGATAGTAGTTGGACATTGGAACCACCCTTGGAACTATGTTTTAATTCATAACAGTTGAACATTGGAACCACCCTTGGGGCTGTGTTTTAATTAATAATAGTTGGACATTGGAACCATACTTAAAACTGTGTTTTGATTAATAGTAGTTGGATATCGGAACTAATTTTGGGGCTGTGTTTTGATAAGTAGTAGTTGGACATGAGATCTACCCTTTGGGCTGTGTTTTGATTGATAGTAGTTGGACATTGGAACCACCCTTGGAGCTGTGTTTTAATTAATAGTTGGACATTGGAACCATACATAAAACTGTGTTTTGATTAATAGTAGTTGGATATAGGAACTAATTTTGGGGCTGTGTTTTGATAAGTAGTAGTTGGACATGAGATCCACCCCTTGGGCTGTGTTTTGACTGATAGTAGTTGGTCATTGGAACCACCCTTGGAGCTGTGTTTTAATTGATAACAGTTGAACATTGGAACCACCCTTGGGACTGTGTTGTGATCAATAGCAGTTGGACATTGGAACTAATTTTGGGACTGTGTTTTGATCAGTAGAAATGGGAGCCACCTTTGGGCTGTGTTTTTATGAATAGTAGTTGGACATTGGAATTTTTGTATTTGCGAGATTCAAAGTCGCGAATTTTAAGGAGTACGAAAATAAGGCATAAAAAATCTTAACTTACCTGTACCACTCTAACCCCAGGTGGTAAAACTTGTCGAAGAAGTGAACTTCGGGACCGGGTGCTCGGACGTTCGGGTGAAGTCGGAGAAATTCTAGTAATGCTCGCGTTCCGCATTTCTTTACTCCGATTATCAACGCTTGAGGAAGTCTCGATTTTGGAAAGTTTTCCGTTTCTTCCTGTTTCAGAAGGAACCGTTTCTTATAACTCCTTTTATTTCGAGACGCTACTCTGTTATTATGGGATGTTTTGTTATACATACGTCTTGTTCCAATCGATATCTGTTTCGAGGGGACCTGAGTAGGAGGATTGTTTCTGGGGAGTGTTTTACCGAATCCCCCAGTGAAAGGTTTATATCGCTGTTGGATTTTCCTCGGCAGCCAAGCTCTAACTACATAATCTTTGTAGCCATCGGAATTTTTCCCTTCATTTACTACTAGTAATTCCTTATCTTCCTGGTGTAGGTGAACGTTGCTCAGACGAGAGGCAGATAGAGCTGACAGACCAGTGCTCACGTGGTGCTTACGAGAACACTGAAGAAAATTGAAGTAAACGTAACAGAAAACTAACGAAAACAGTGCGCTAATTAAGACCAGTTGCTGGAAAACGGACCGTTTTCTATTCCAAGGTGGCTGAAACATCCGCATATTTACTTATCGTGTAAAGCCTGTATAACTAGCTTTGTTCTTTGGGAAAAAGATAGACGCTTCTGAACACGAGTAAGTAAACTGTTTTCAAACTGTTATTTTATAAGTCAATACTTCATTGAGAGAAAGATCTAACTAAAGCCTTGTTACTAAGCAACCTTTGTACTATAATGCCCTCCAAGGCATTCTGAAAGTCAAGATTTTCTTGAAGGTGAGTGAAGTGCCTAACTAAAGCCTTGTTACTAAGCAACCTTTGTACTATAATGCCCTCCCAGGCATTCTGAAAGTCAAGATTTTCTTGAAGGTGAGTGAAGTGCCTAACTAATACCTTGTTACTAAGCAACTTTTGTACTATAATGCCCTCCCAGGCATTCCGAAAGTTGAGATTTTCTTGAAGGTGAGTGAAGTGCCTAACTTGTTACTAAGCGCCTTGAAAATACATTTGACTATAGTCTTTTTCGAGACATTCTGAACTCTTCATAGGTTTTATCTGATTTGAAGTTGGCATTCGATATTATTATCTCATTAGTGAGGAATTCCAGATTGGCGTTTCCGAAATCTAATCAAGAACTATTACTCTGAGCGTTAATTCCTCCATTGTCGTTGTTGGCCACCGGCGATTGCAGAAAGAGATTTTTAGTTGAAAACTATGACCTTACAAGTCGCTAACTGAGAGCAGTCCAGTCCAATCTACTGCTTCCAAGATCCGAACTGCATCACGAGATTGCCGTGAAATCTCGGCGATCGATAGCCGATCTACCACGTCGGAGGAGAACTACGATACTGTGTCCAGACAGATCGTGTGCTCTCTTAAACCTCACCTTGGAGTCACTGCCCCCATGCGGAGAAATTATTACATTAATATTTTTGTTGAGATTTTGTGACGTTTGCAAAAAATGGTTAGTAAAATTTGTCCAATTAGCTGAAACCTCAATCCCAGAATCGTCTTATTATCTCTTTTCTTTTTTTCTCCAATCAGAGATCCCCCCCAGTGGCACAGCAATATGTCTGCGGACTTACAACGCTAGAATCCGGGTTTCGATACCCGTGGTGGGCAGAGCACAGATAGCCCATAGCTTAATTAAAAACAAACAAACAATTAATACTCATAGATAATTTAAACACTTTTTATTTTTATATAACCAAAGAGGAAAACATTTCAAGTTACAGACAAAATTACAGAGAATTAGGTAAATATTATATTTCGCCCGGTCCCTCAGGGGATCTGCGGTAAGTTTAGGGACCTACAACACTAAAAAAAATCCGGCGTTCGATTCCTCGCGGTGAATAGAATGTAGAAATCTCATTGTGTAGTTTTGCACTAAGAAAACTGTATCTTCTGTTCATTGGTCAGTGGCCAAATTACGGCCTCTGAAGAATGAATGTGAACTTTTATAGCAGATGACCTTTCTCTAGTGCTCAAGAAAAATTGTATCGCTCAGCTGTTTCATCACCGAAAAACGGATTTATGTTACAGTTTCTTAAACATTACTTTGACACCCAGGACAAATTTGTTTGTGTTTAAAGTTTCACAGTTTTCTTGTACATGAGGCAGAGTTGACGATGCTTATCTGAATAAATAGGACTGAATTTACGTCACAGGATTAGGCTAAACTTTATCTAAGCTGGTACTGAGGTCAAAGATAACTGTTCCTTAAATAACGAAACGCTACATTTGGTTGAGGTCAGAGATAATTGATTTTTAAATAACGAAACGCTACTTTCGGTTGAGGTCAAAGATCCTTAAATAACGAAACGCTAGTTTCAGTTAAGGTCAAAGCCAGCTGTTCTTTAAATAACGAAACGTTGGTTTCACTTGAGGCCAAAGATAACTGTTCCTTAAATAACGAAACGCTGCATTCGGTTGAGGTCAAAATGAACCTAAACAAACCACGACTTCCTTCTAAATCAACTTGAACAAACAAAAACCTTCTTCAAAATGAACCAAAACAAACCACGTTCTTTTCAAGTCAACTTACGTAAACCAAAACCTCCTTTTCAAGACAACCGGAATAAACAATAATCTGCTTCAAAATCATTTTATTTTTATTTTTATCTAAGCCTTATGGTTTTAATTCTCATTTCATCATTTCTAGTGTAAATCTTGACATTCATAATTCAAATAAAATTTAAATATTTTTTCTCTTTGTCTTACCTTAACTTCATATAATAACTGTATATTTTCAAATGTTTAAAGGATCATTATATATATGTGTGTGTGTTTTTCCTTAATACTGATCGCCAGTATGTGTTGTTTTTAACTTTGTTCTATGTTCCCAACTCATTTTCCATTACTTTTTATGTTAAATGAACATTAAAAAACATGTCACATGCTCAGTGTTTACATTGCGTTTTATTTTTTGAAATTAGCAAGATAAGACGGCAACTTTAAAGTCTCTGATTAGAAACTTCATATTTAAACTAACAGATAAATTCGCGTTGTCAGATTTTGATGCTGAAAAACTTGATTATTTAAGTGTTTTGTTGGCAAGTTTAATGGAGCTTTTGCATCTGTTAAAAAATAAAGATGTCAACTACGAAACGAAGTTAAGAATTAATAGAACATTGCTGTAAAAAAAATGAAGGTTGGAGAGCGAGGGTATCGGCGATGCTGTACGCCATCTATAAATCACTCGATTTTTTTTTGATTTTTTTTATCGAACATAGACTTCCTGATTTCAATAGGCTTAGTAGAACGAGTGTATCGACCTTAGGAAAGAAAAATGACTCGGGATTACGAACATAAAATATTATACAAAACTGCCAAAAGTTTCTCATCTACTACCGAGCCCCCAGTAACTTCGTTTATAGATTTAAGGCAGACATTTTTTTAATCCTTGTTCATCTCTATGTACTTCATCACCCACATGTTGGTGGAGATGAATGATGGATACGTGTCCCCTACAGTACAAATGACACGTTTGTTCAGACACTTTATCGTACCATGTATTACGCAGAAATTGTAGCTTTGCCGACGAAGAATAAAACAGACATACTTACGTTTAGAAACTGAAAGCGTGGGTTGCAGGTAAACAAAGAATTTAAACACACATCTCAAGTGAAACATTACAAATTAATATTTTCTGTTAATTTTAAATGCAACCAACAATGAAAAGCTGTTATGGAACGTGTAGTTTCGCGAACTGTTTGCGCTAATAAACCCCAAAACAACCAACTATTCCAATGTCCGCGCGGAAATACATCCAAATGTCATGAGTTCCTTAAATTCAAGTTATGCAACTTGTCTGATTTGAATTTGTTGTTTCTGTTGATTTTCGCGCCAAACTGCACGAGGTCTATTTACATTATTTTAAAGTGATAGACTAGATGAAACGTAATTAGTCAACACAATCCTACGCCATCTCGTCGTCGACTAGTGTGATTTCACCGTCGCTCTTATAATTGGATTTGTCTGCAAGTGATCATAATATCAAATGCTATGGAAGCCTTAGCAAATGTTTGGTTTGTTTGTTGTTTTTTTTAATTTTCGCGCAAAGCTACACGAGGGGTCTCTGCGCTAGCCTTCCCTAATTTAGCAGTGTAAGACTAGAGGGAAGGCAGCTAGTCATCACCACCCACCGCCAACTCTTGGGCTACTCTTTTACCAACGAATAGTGGGATTGACCGTCACATTATAACGTCCCCCCGCCCGGCTGAAAGAGCGAGCATGTTTGACGGGGATTCGAACTTGCGACCCTCAGATTGCGATTCGAGCGCCCTAACCACCTGGCCATGCCGGTGCCTCCATGACATTTAAGACGTTTTATTTGTTTGTATCAAGACTTCCACACAAAGCTACACGAAGGCTGTCTTCGTAAATCCGTCCCTATATTTCAACTAATATACTATATAGAAGACAGTAAGTCAACGGCACCCTCCGCCAACTCTTTAGCTACTATTGTCTGAACAAATAGTGAGATTTTGTCTTCACTTTTATAGCACACACAGCCTCAAAATAGCTTAGCACTAAATTCCAAGAAAAACAAATAAACATTGCGCTCTCTGCTGGCAGAAATATTCTTCTTCTGTCAAGGCTTGGTGGAGACCATAAGAAAACGCTCTCAAAGTCTTAGCAGATAAAGTTATAAAACAGCAAGAGGTAGGAGTATTATTAATTCCAAAATGAGTTCCTTCTAATGTTTTACATCTAGGTGTAAATGAAGATATGTCTGCACTACAGAAAACGTCTTGACAACTCGACCCACAGTTAATGGTAAAGAATTAAGTGAAACGGTTTTTATCCCAACAGAAGAACGTGGTAATTAAATACACCTGGTGGCTGAAAAAAAAAACACTCAACAGCTGAGAAATTTATTCTATAGAATATTGAGAATATTTGGAAAAACAAATATTGATTTTATCATTTGACTTATTATATGTAATATTTGTGTCCAATACAGTCTCTCGGGGTGGCTCAGTGGAAATTCTAAAAGGCATATAAAGCTAAAAATCTGGTTTCGATACCTGTGATTAGCAGAGTACAGATAGTCCATTGTGTAACTTCAGGCTTAAGAAAAACCAGTATTTAATATTTCGCTCTTCCTTTTGTTTGGTAAAAGAGTAGCTAAAGAGTTGGCGGTGGGTGGTGACGACTAGCTGCCTTCCCTCTAGTCTTTCACTGCTAAATTATAGACGTCTAGCACAGATAGCTCTCGTGTAGCTTTGCGAGAAACTAAAAAGAAACAAAACTCTTTGGTTGTTTTTTTATTGACAATCAATTTAAAAGACACGAAATAGATAATAATTTAATTACATTTTAATGTCTATTTACTCCCAAAATATCACTCCTATTTCTATCTGTATCATCTTCCACTTACATTGATAGAAGCCCAATAGCTCAGCCCTTCCAACTATTTAATATCAAATTCCGTTCAGAACAGGCTACTTACTTAGACCAAAAATAAACCTGGTAGTGAGGGTAGTTTATTACGTCTCCGTAGAAAGACGTACTGGTTTTCTATTGTTTCTTTTTTCTTCCAAACACTTTCCAATCGACCACCATTTCTTGGCGGATTGGCTTGAAACTTGGTAGAGTTATACCTTGGTCCAATACGCCCAGACACCTTTTTATTTATTTATTTTTATGTAAGCCTTTTTAAGGATTGTATGGGGTCATAGGTAAAACAACCCAAGAAATGTATATTTTCGGCTCCTGTGCGGTCATATTTACAGAAATCAAGATGAAAATTGGTACAGATATATATTTCCATGCACCCCGAACACTGACATAAAACATTTTGATTTGCTCATTTTGAGTCTATTTATGGGGATAAGAGCTCAAGAAAAAGCATAATTTGGGGGGTTTTGGTCAATTACTCGGCCATATTTTAATCAATTTACATGGGACTCACACATCGACATACAAAAATAGTGGACTTGCTCATTTTTAATAATCATAGGGGTGTCAAGATGCCACAAAAAACATAATTTTAGGATTTTTTTGATAATTACTCCCGCCGTATTTTGACCAATTTACATTAAATCTGATACAAAGATACTTTTCTACAGGTAACACACATTGGCAAACAAAAATGTTGGACCTGTCCATTTTTAGTAATTATAGGGGAGTCAAGATGCCCAACAAAGCATAATTTAGGGTTTTTGGTCAATTTGTCGGCCATATTTTGACCAATTTACGTGGGATTTGGTACATAGATACTTTTTTACAGGTCCCAAACAGAGATATAGACAGTTTTGGAATTTTTGTCTTTTGCTCAATTATATCAGTGTGGAAAGCACAATTTGAAGTTTTCGTGAATGTTCACGTGTATGTCAACCAAGTTACATGTGTACGTCAACCAACTTACATGTGTACGTTAACCAACTTACATGTGTACGTTAACCAACTTACATATGTATGTCAAACAACTATTCATGTGTACGTTAACCAACTTACATGTGTACGTTAACCAACTTACATGTGTATGTCAAACAACTATTCATGTGTACGTTAACCAACTTACATGTGTACGTTAACCAACTTACATGTGTACGTTAACCAACTTACATGTGTATGTCAAACAACTATTCATGTGTACGTTAACCAACTTACATGTGTATGTCAAACAATTATTCATGTGTATGTCAACCAACTTACATTTGCAAGTCAACTAACGTACATGAAATTTGGTAAAAAAGATACCTTCTTACAGGTCCCAATCAGTTATACAGACAGTTTTGGAATTTTCTGGTGTCAAAATGTTTGGATTGCGGAGATAAGTTGGACTCTTTAATTAAATAATCTGGTTTATTTATTATTAATATCAGAACTTATTGATTCATTAGTCGGGTACTCTCACTGTTAGCGATGTTTTCGGCCATAATCCCAATAATATCTCACGAGGTTCGGTCAGATAAGAAAATTTAATTTAGCCATAACTCCACATATACTTTAGCATCTGCAATCTTCCTTTATTGACATCGCCCATTAGTTGAATTGATAGAAACCAATAGATCAGCGAACAATAAAAAATCTTTAATCAGCATTAAATAAAGATAATCCAGTTATGTAAGCAAGCGTGTTTTATACTCCCATTAAATCAAAATTCAACCATGAATTGAAGAGATAGAAATCAATGAAAGAAAAGCAACCAAAACTACTTTTATTACTTGAACTTTCCCAGCTGTATGTGTACAATAGAATGTCTCAAAATTCCGTTCTGCTTTGACGTATAACTTCTTTCCGCACTGACATAATGGGAATTAACTTAATTCGTTGCTTTGACGTATAACTCAACTTTATTTATCTTGTTAGTTTTTAATTACTGTTCGGTGAGAGTATTAATTATATTTTGTCATTATACGAATTCAACTTAACGCAGTTATACAAGAGAGCAGTGCTCTGGCTTGACGATAACGACTTTTGCTATTAACAACTCTTTCTAGATTTGAAAGGAAGTCAGGTTTACGTCTTCTGCTATAAAAAAAAAAGGAGGGAGGAAAACTGACATCAAGTTGCTTAAAGCAACGTCAGCTCTAAATCACAGTCTCCGCTCCGGCCGATTTCGTCTGAGATTAAACTCGTTTCGGGAAATATCTA